CATCTATCCGATATCAGACAGTGCATGGACTAGTCTAGTTTAGGTGGTGCCAAAGAAAGATGGAATAATAGTAGTGCCAGAAGAGAAGAATGAGTTGATACCGACCAGAACAGTGACAACATGGAGGGTTTGCATTGATAACTCAATGCAGCTACAAGGAAAGATCACTTTCTCCTTCCATTTATAGACCAAATGCTGGAGAGATTGGCAGGTCACTCAAATTACTGCTTCCTCGACGGGTATTCAGGTTACAATCAGATACCGATGGCACTAGACGATCAAGAGAAAACAACCTTCACTTGCCCTTATGGTACTTTCGCATACCTCAGGATGCCTTTCGGCCTTTCCAATGCCTCTGTCACATTTCAACGATGTATGATGGCGATTTTCTCAGACATGGTAGAGATATTTATAGAGATATTTATGGATGACTTTTCGATCTTCGGGTCTTTATTTGACAAGTGTTTGGAACACTTGAATTTGGTATTACAAAGATGCAGGGAAACCAATTTAGTATTGAACTGGGAGAAATGTCACTTTATGGTGCAAGAAGGAATTGTACTTGGGCATCAAGTCTCAGCAAAAGGGATTGAGATGGACAAAGCAAAGATTCAGGTTATTGAGAAGCTACCGCCACCAACATTGGTTAAAGGAGTTCACAGCATCTTGAAACATGCTGGATTCTACAGGAGATTTATAAAGGATTTTTCAAAAATCGCCAAGCCTCTCTGCAACCTGTTAATGAAAGACGTGCCCTTTGAATTTAATGAGGAATGTTTGACAGCTTTCAACATTTTGAAGGAGAAACTCACGTCAACACCGATAATTGTAGCACCTGATTGGGAATTACCTTTTGAGTTAATGTGTGATGCTAATGATCACGTCGTAGGTGCAGTACTGGGACAGCGAAAGAACAAGATTTTCTATGTGATCTATTACGCAAGCTGAACATTGAATGATGCCCAGATCAACTATGCAACCATTGAGAAGGAACTCTTGGGAGTGGTCTATGCCTTTGACAAATTCAGATCATATCTCGTTGGGTCTAAGGTCATAGTCTACACAGATCACGCCGCGTTGAAGCATCTAATGACAAAGAAGGATGCTAAGTCGAGATTAATCCGTTGGGTATTACTACTGCAAGAATTCGACATTGAAATCAGGGACAAGCAGGGCAGTGAAAATGTGGTAGCAATTCACTTATCGAGATTAGAACATGAAGAACTAGAAGTGTCAGTGGAAATCAATGAAATTTTTCCAGATGAGCAAATGCTCAGTACAGAAGAAGCCCCATGGTATGTAGATATCGTTAACTATTTGGCTAAGTCAATCCCACCGCCAGATTACTCGGGTCACCAGAAGAACAAATTCTTCACCGAACTGAAATATTACTTTTGGGAAGATCCTATTCTCTATAGGCGAGGGGCTGATCAAATTGTGAGAATGTGTATACCTGAAGATGAGGTACCTGAGATTCTTGAACATTGTCATTTTTCTGCCTATACGGGGCACTTGGAGCTTCAAAAATTGCCACAAAAGTCTTACAGTCAGGGCTCTATTGGCCTATATTGTTTAGAGACGCCTTTGAGTTTGCTAAGAGATGTGATAGATGTCAACACACTGGGAACATCTCAAGAAGGAATGAGATGCCACTAAACAAAATATTGGAAGTCGAGATATTTGATGTCTGGGGAATCGACTTTATAGGATCATTTTCCCCATCGTCTTCAAATCAGTACATCCTGGTAGCAGTTGATTATATGTCAAAATGTATGGAAGCAACTGCATTGCCAACAAATGATGCGAAGGTCGTAATTGGGTTTTTGAAGAAATACATCTTTACCAGATGTGGCACACCGTGGGCTATTCAGTGATGGTGGCAAACACTTTTGCAATTGGCAATTTGAGAAATTGTTGAGTAAATATGGGATTAAACATCGTGTCGCCACCCCATATCATCCATAGACTTGCAGGCAGGTTGAAGTGTCCAATCGGCAGTTGAAGAGAATATTAGAGGTTACAGTGAATTCTTTCCGAAAGGACTAGTCTAAAAAGTTGGAGGATGCATAGTGGGCATATAGGACAGCATTCAAGACACCGATAGGCATGTCTCCATTCCGCCTAGTTTTCTGAAAAAGCGTGCCACCTCTCATTGGAGATAGAACATTGGGCATATTGGGCTATGAAACAGTTGAACATGGATTTGAAGGCCGTCGGTGAAAAACGTTTATTGCAGCTTAATGAATTAGATGAATTCAGAATGGAAGCATATGAAAACTCAAAGCTTATTAAAGAAGGCACCAAAAAGTGGAATGACCTACACATTCAAAGGTGAGAGATCGAAGTGGGGCAGAAAGTTCTGTTATATAACTCGAGACTCAAGCTTTTTCTTGGAAAATTAAGGTCAAAGTGGTCAGATCCTTACACTGTCACTAAAGTTCTGCCATATAGAGTTATACAGGTCAACTATGAAACAAAAGGAACATTCACAGTTAATAGGCAAATGTTAAAACACTACTGGGGAGGGAACTTCTCCAAGCAAAAGTCCATCGTTCAACTTGGGATGCCTAATTGAAGCAGAAGTGGAAAAATCGAGCTATCGACTATAAACTAGCGCTGAGTAGGAAGCAACCCACTGTATCCTTTTAGTTTATTTTATTTTGCTTTTTTCATTAGTTTAGAAATTTTTCAATTTTATGTTTTGCATTTTTCTTTTAGTAAGCCATCGATCATCTATGCATGAGGCTAAGCACTATCCACACGAGTCCCTAGGCATTAAGCACGAGTTAGGATTAGTAGAAGTTGTTGTTGGGTGATTGGGTGTGACATTCACGCATTTCGAGGCACACAATCATTTTTCGTAAAATCTTTGAGAGAGTGTCTAAATTCAAGTCAAAAATTTGGTTTTGATATCACGTCAATTGGCCGACACATATCCATATGGGTTAAAATATTTTCAAATTTTTTTGGGGCAGGTGAGAAGTCGGGTCAATTTTACTATCGAAAACCAAATATTTTGAGGAGATGTGAGTCGTGTTTTTAAAAGTCAAAAGTGTTGGTACTTTTTCATGTTCATTTAAAAAATAAAATTTTTTTGACGTTTAGTCTATGCGGCCGCATAGACATGGTCAGGGCCAAAATTGGCCCTAACCCATTACTCTATGCGACAACATAGCTCTATGAGGTCACATAGAGGAATCACGAAAAAAAATTTAAAATTTCAGTTTTTAAATTAAAAACACGCACCACACACACAAAAAACACTCTTTCTCTCAACTCACATCACTCTCTCTCTCTCTCTCTCTCTTGTGCAACTCTCTCTATCTCACACTCTCAAACACAAGAAATTCACACACCCAACACAAACACCCGCAAAATCAAAACAATCAATTGCACAACTTCATAATGTATACAACGTGTTCAATTAAATGCCTAAGTGTTGAGCCTTATTCAATTTTGTAAACTTTGCTTTCATCATGCATTACAATTGATGTGAATAGCAATGGATAATCAGAGATCACATGAAAGGCCATGTAAAACATAAAACTCCAACTTGCATAACGTAGGAACTACATGGCTAGGTCACGGCATCCTACGTCACCTACTTAGCCTCTTCAGTTACCCAACCAAACGACCTCTGATCAACTTGAAATTTGACTATGTGCTAGACTACATTGAATATTTCCATATGCCTGAAGATTTCTTGAGAAAATTTTTATATTTCTCGATGATGCCTGGGATTGAAAGTGCGCACTCGGTCATAAGTCAAATTTTCATAATGTGCATGTTTGGGCCTAATTTTATTAGTTATTCCTATTTGTGCAATATCTCTACTATCTTGAACATCGTGTCTTGAATATTGCATACCAATGTATTATAGATGCATCTCGGAGTAAGTTTGGAAGAATCGTGCATAAATTGAATCATACATAAATTGACTCTTGTTTTCTACATGCCTTTTTCATTGCATTTTATGGTTTTGACATTGACAATCTTAATTTTTGTAGGATGCCACCAAAAAGAACTTTGAAAAGCAAAGAAAAAGTCGGCTCATCTTCTGAAACTGCAAGAACTAGAGAGCTCGAAGGGGGATTACAGAGGTTCTTAAATGCGAAACCGTGGCCCGGTATGAGAGCATCATACGCCATTGGACAATGAATCCTAAAAGACCAGTTAAACTTGAAGATTTCTTGAGGTATGAATTGGTGAATCTGGTTCAGATTTGTGGTTGGGATAAAGTGGTAGAGAGACCTCACCCAGTTGATGAGAATCTAGTCCGAGAGTTCTTTGCCAATTTCAATAGTGAGATTGACACCCCAGGTTCAGAGCGTATACATCAGACATGGGTGCGATATCCATGATCATTATCAGCTAAACATGGAAAATGTGGTTCCCACCCCTACCGAATTCAACTGGAACGAAGTAGCTGAGGTTTTGTTGGGACGGGAAAATGCATGTCCCCTAGCGACTGTTGAGTAGCATCAGATTGAGCTCACGCCGTCCATTGCCATTCTATGGCTCTTCATGTACCACAACATCGAGCCCATATCACACATAACAATATTTCCAGATCAAATAGTAGGCTTCATTTATCATCTGGTTCGACGTTGCAAAATAGACCTCGCCACCCTTATCTACAATCAAATCCACACCTTGGGCACTTAGAGGGATCGGCGTACCACTTTGGTCTTCCCCAGCCTCATCACGTCATATGCCAGGCTGTGGGCATTACAATCTTACCAGAGGAGTTACTGAAAAACCCAGTCCTTCAATAAAGCATACTACATTTGAGGCTCAGGAGCGAGCTCGAATAAGACATTAGGATGAACAAAAGAGAGAGCGACGAAGACAGCAGCAGGCTACACAAGGCCAGAGACCCGATGATGTTGAGATGCCCAGGCACCACCACCACCTCCACCGATGGGAGCTGATACACAGTTACTACATTAGATGTTTGTGACTTTCACGAGAACCAACCGCGAGATATAGGGCATCTAGCAAGCTCTAGGGGCTTTGATGACCGACATGCAGACAGCTCGACGTGATATCAGTACCACTCAAACCATGGCACAATCTACCTATCAGGAGGCCCGATCAGCTAGGACGGAGATGGAGACTATGAACGAGCAGCTGAGTGTATATGTGGGCAGAGTGGATGACATACAGATAAGGGTAAATGACACATAGGACCGAATGCATAGCATGGAGGGTGAAGCTAGAGCACATAGTAGCATGATGAGAGCTATGCAAGCAGAGCAGGCCCAGCAGTCAGACTTATTAAGGCAAATCTTGGCCCATTTCCCACCTCTACTAGGCGAGGACACTACGGCACCTAGTTATCAGTCACCACCACCAAAGTGATCGGGGAAGTTTTATTTGACTCATTTTGTTATTTCTAATTTACACTTGTCCTTCAAATTATGCCTTTTTGAAACCTTTATTTTTCACATTGAGGGCAATGTACTATATAAGTTTGGGAAATGTTGGCATATTTTGAATGGTGACACATTTTGTAAACTAAATTATCGGCATGTAATGTAATCCTTTTTTAAACGATCTCAATCCATCAATACTTTGTTACTGGTTGCATATTGTATGTTTAATAAGTGATTATTGGATCAATCTGCTATATTAAGTTCATTGTATGCATGTGTGAGTTTGATAGCCTTACCGACAATGATGTGATTATTGGAATATATATGTGTTAGAAACTGTGAATAATGTGCAGAATTTGATTAACTGATACTTGTTGATGTAGTACTTGACATTCTATATGCATGCCACTCATGCCATAAATGTTAGGTGAGTGATTGGGTTTGAAAAAAGCAAGAGAAACCAGAAAACCTCGATTAGATTAAGCCATAAATGAATGTAGACCCATAAAATAAAGTGCCTTAATGAATAGTTTGGAGACGGTTTAACAATTATAGGGGAACACTGAGATAAGTGGGGCTCCGTGCATGAATTACGCTGTGTGAATTGACTAGACAATTGAGATGAAGACTAGGTGAAAGTCTTAAATTGGGGGTTGATTCTAGAGACCAAATGTCTAGAAAGATAATAAAGGGGCATAGATCTAGGTTATGAAAATATGACACCTTTCCAAGCCATTATGACTTGAGTGAACAAGCCTGCAAGGGTGTAAAACTTGGTGGCCTAAGGTCAATTGATTTGGGAGTCATGGCCCAAAGCTCGTTACAGGGGTCATATAGAAAGTCAGAGGGAAATAGGTCAATAAAAAGTCATTTGATCGAGCCTTTATAACTTAAGTGAATAAGCTTACAAAGGTGTAAAATCTGGTGTGCTAAGGCAACCTTTTTTTAGAGTCACCGGCCCAAAACTCGTATATAGAAAGCAAATGATAAGATGACATAAAAAAAATAGAAAATGAAAAATACAGAGTACGATAGTATGGATGAACCCTTGGACATTCGGTTGATAAAAATCACACCTTCAAGGTAAGGCAAGTAACTTAGTTTAGTCTTGAGTGTTATAGTAATGAAATTTAGGAAAGTCTTCACTTGTTGACATGCGAATCTATGATGGTGAGATCTATCCAAACAAAGAGAGGGTAAGGACTACAGTTACCTAGACTTTTAACTTTAAAACACAACCCTGAGATAATTGAGTAAAAAGAATAAGTTTGGAGGGTTGTGTATCTCTTGAGCAAAGTGAGGATATATTTGACCATTTGGGGTTGATATTAAACCAATCATGAGTTTGATATGTTGTATGAGTTCTCTCACACACGGTGAGTTTTGCATCTGACAAGTAAAGGTTGATTTTATTCTCGTACTATTGAAACTGTTTCCTATGTTAATTGTTGAATTCCAATTCTGAGATACGACAGGTTATTAAGCCATGTTTGTTGAGAGTTAAGCCACTATCTTATTTGAGAATAAACAACAGTTCAAGTTTAGGGGATTTGATAAGTGCGTTTTTATGCACTTATATAACTCACAAACATTACTAAAATACGAGCAAAGTGTTTGAAATGTGACCTAAATTCGTTTGATTCTTGGATTGTATGGTTTTTAGATGGACTTGATGGAATTCACGAGAAAAAGAAGCAAAAAGGACCAAAACGAATCAAAGTGATAGTTCAAGGATCAAAGTGCAAATATCCAAAAGATGAACCAAATGAGCAATCGAAGAACTGATAGTGCTAAGTACCAATTGAAAGTCAATATGAGATGATGGAAGAAAAGAGGTCAACAAACAAGAAGATTGAGCTTGGGGACTAAAACAGCACAAATTGGAAGTTCATTAAACCATGTTGTAGCATGGTGTTATTTCCATGCGGCCGCACAACCCCAAAATAGGTTCAACCATGCGGTCGTATGGTGTAAAACTCTGTGTCGATTCTACAATTTCCTTTTTACGTTATAACTCTATTGGAAAACGATTTGGACGGGATATAAAAGCCTGGACTCGTCAAAATTAGGGCTAGAACACATTGGAGGAGAACAAAACAATTCTTGGAGACCAAATTGAGGGAGATCAACAAGAGATTTCACGAAGAACATCAAGATTTCATCAAATTTCAATATCGGGTGATGTTTCATTTTCAAGAAT